CCAGTCACTTTTACAATAGACAAAATTCGTATTCTCCGACAGTCCTGGGACGAGTGGGCCTTAAAGTTCCGAAGGGCTTACATACTTGAGAGATCATTATTTCAAATTCAATTCAATTCAATTCAATTCTTTATTCACACTATACAAGATATTTACATAAGTGTACATAGTAGGAAAATAAAGTAGCTACAAAGAAAAACTAACTAAAGATATTAAGTTCATTTGTGTACGGTGTCCAAAGTAGCAAGAGCTTTCTTGTTGGACACCGTCATATTGAAATAATTGGCAGCAGTAAAGAGTGGAATAAAATCTCAAATAATATCAGTGATACAACATATACTCAGGTCAGATTTGGTTGGTTAGAAGACAGGACTTCCATTCTTTTTTAAACTTATGATATGGCAGACACTTGAGACCAGGCGGTACAGTCTCCCAGATTTTTAGAGCGGAGAATTTAAAGGACGTCTTACCTAAGTTGGTGGATACTCTTGGCCTAAAATAGTTCAGATTACTGACAAATCTTGTATTATGATTGTGTATACGCGATGCTGGAGTCAGGACATCAAGGAAAATATCTGGAATGCTATCGGTCTCATTTCTCATTCTATGTATAAAGCAACATATTTGTAATTTATATATATTATCTAATTTAAGGATTGTTAGGAGTTTCAAATAGGGAGCAGCACTCTCTCTAGGATGTACAAAGAAGATGGTGCGGAGACATTTATTATGTTTAATACGAAGACAATCTAATCTGGTTTTGCTGGCACAGCCCCAAGCAAGAATACCGTAACTCAAATAGGGATATATTAAGGCATAATAAATTTGTTTTAGTATATTCAAATCTATGTAATATCTTAGTTTTGAAAGGATTATTATTATTTACATGTTGTATCTGTGGTTGCCAATTGAGATGTTTATCTATATAAACTCCCAAGTACTTTATGTAATCTTTCTGTTCAATACCAGTGATATTTATCTTTGGGTGGCACCTAGATGATGAGACTAACATGTAATTGGTCTTTGCAGTGTTAATAGATAACTTATTTAGAGCACAGTAGTTATAAATTTGTTTAAGCTCTTGATTCATTACGGATTCAAGCTGTTTTAAGTTGTCGCTAGAGTAAAATAAATTGGTGTCATCAGCAAAGCTCCGCACCGAAAGTTTGTCGACACAGTTTGGTAAGTAGTTCACATAGAGCAAAAATAAAAGAGGACCTAGAGTCGAGCCTTGGGGTGTACCGCAGGTAATATTTTCATAGCTAGATTTAGCAGAGTAAATTTTAACATATTGTCTTCGATTGTGCAAATAACTTCCAAACCAATTATGTGGTGTACCCCGAATTCCATACAGATATAGTTTAGAGAGCAGTATTTCATGATTTACTGTGTCAAATGCCTTTGATAGGTCGAGAAATAAACCACATGTTATTTGACCTTTATCAGTAGCTAGCTTCAGATTGTCAGTAATTTCAAGAATAGCTTGTTCAGTGGAATATCCTTTCCTAAATCCAAACTGATATTTGTACAAGATTTGATGTTTATCTATGAATGAATATAACTGATTATAGACTAGACGCTCGAGCACTTTACTAAAAGGTGAGAGAGTTTCCATGGGCCGATAGTTGCTAGGGTCTGTAGCATCACCATCCTTATACAATGGGGAAACTTGTGAGACTTTTAAAATATCAGGAACAATTCCAGTTTCAATAGACTGGTTATAGATATATGTTAAAGGTGTTGACAATGGCTGGGCAGCTATTTTAATTCATTTATTAGGAATATCTAAGGATGACTTATGATCATTTAAACCTTTAAGTAGTGAACATACTTGGGTTTCAGTAACACAGGACATAACAAAGCTAGCTACTGGAGTCGATCTTATGAATTGGGTCGGACTTCCATCACAATTTTCAATTCTTTTGGCCAGGTTTTGACCCACATTGACAAAATGCTTATTAAATTGATCGGCAATCTCAGCCTTATTAGTGTAAGCCTATTATTACGTTTAATTTTTGAGATGGGGGTTTGTCCCTTTGAGTTGCGCTTAACTAGCATACCAATCAATTTCCAAAATGCCTTCAGGTTGTTTTTACATAGGTCAAAGTGTTCTGAAAAGTAGTTCTTTTTGCAAATGTTCTTAAGCCAATTCAGTTTGTTAGCATACTTTTTATATTCTGTCACCTTAATTGGATTGTTAGAAAGAAAGTGTGTTTTGTATAATTTATGCTTAGTTTTGATTGATTTAAGAATACCATTAGTTATCCACGGCTTAGCACATAATTTCTGTTTCTTTTGGGACAATTGCCTAATTGGTGCATGTTTATCTGCAATTGATTTTATCAGGTCAGTTATTTTAGTAGCTGTCTCATGCAGATCATTATTATAGATAGCATTCCATTGATTGCATTGATATCCTGTAAGTAAGATTCTTGATCAAAATTGCTGTAATCTCGATAATACTTAATAGGGTTGTGTTTCTTAACTGGTATATTTGTAACACAGACAGCTGGGAGGTGATCAGAGATATCCACCATTACAATCCCAGAGACAAAAATGGATGTACTGTTGGTATAGATATGATCAATTAATGTAGCTGAATGATAGGTCAGACGTGTTGGTTTAGTAATAATTGGTAATAAATTATTGGAATACAGCATGTCAAGGTAAGCCTCTGTAGGTGGGTGACTATCACATTTAAAAAAGTCTATATTCATATCACCAAGGATATACAATTGGTACTTGTTTGGGTTAAATAATTTCATTGTTTCATCAAGTTTCCCATTAAATTCATCAATATTCGCACCTGGATGTTTGTAGATACAGCCAACCAAGATGGGTTTTTGGTTTTTGGGAGTAGCTATTTCAACCCAAACAGATTCCACAAGAGGCATATCCAAAGTTATATCTGACCTTGGAAATGATGTTAAAGCTTTACTGAAATAAAGAGCAACCCCTCCAGCTGGTGTGGGAGAATCAGCTTGGTAGATATTATAGTTAATCAACTCAGTATTAAAAGTGGTATTTGCATTTAGCCTGGTTTCAGAAACCCCTAATACGTCAGGCTGTTCACTTAGAGAATATAGCATATCTTCTAGCAAGCCAATATTTTTTGACAGGCTTCTAATATTACAATGAAGAAATGAGAAGGATTTCGCTCCTGATTTACTTAGGACCTTATTCAAACAAGAAATATCATAGTAATCAGATTGAGGGTTAATTAATATATGATCAGGGTCAGCATCATCAGATTTATCAGGGTTGGGTAGCAGATTATATAAATCTAAATCTTTTAAATTATCTATCTGCAAGTGACAGGATCAATCTAGAATATGAAATTCTCTGTCAAACAACAAAAGGAAGATCTGCTCATTATTACTAAGAAAAACAGCGATCCTAACCATAATTATATTGATGAAAAGCGTGCTTGATGAGCTAGTATATAATTTAATACAACAGAGATGTTCTTAATATCCATCCCCGACGCATTTAGAGTTTGGTGCAGGCGATAATACTGAGCACTTTAAACTCCACACTACAGATACACACAAGAGAAAAAGAATAAGAAGAAGAATAAAATTTTATGAAAAGAATTCGAGTATTGATATTTTGACAGGATATACCATTTTCTTGATTACTTCTAGTTTCTTCTTTTGGCTTCGTGGCTTTTTAACTTTTGTTGTTAGTACGACCAGCCCTTCCCACAGTTTTGTTTTTTGAAAGAGATATCCTTTTCGCTTACCCGTCGGGTTTCAGCTTTTAAATTTTGCAGTTTTTTGCTGATTTCTATCGTTTTGCAGCGATTCAGCTGCGACTAGCCAATGTTTGTTTGTGTTTTTGCTAAAAAGTTCCCCGCTTTAGCCTCGCAATCATGCTGTGAAGTCTCTCGTCCCAGGGCCGTCGGGGAATAAGAATATCGTCTGTTATCTGAGCTTAAGGTTACCTGACAACTCTCTGATAAATTATTCTAATACATCTTAACCTTTTACATGATTGAATTTTTTTTTTCTCAAAAACAAAATGATTTGTTTCGAAGATAATTTCGCTCTCTTGTTGGCTCTACTGTTTGTACAAAACAATGAATCGGCGGCCATGTTTGTGTACAAAGAAAATCCTGTGGGAATTGAACTCTTTTCACGTGTTCAAACTTTGTTTTATTCCAAACGATTTGCAAAGCTGCTCACCACGTGACTGAAAACGATCTATAATCTATTTTACAGTTACAGCGGGAAACAAGGCTGGAGTTGAGCTTGTTTTGATACAACCCGTCCTGCTTTGTTATCTAAATAATATCCTTTTTATGCTAACTAGTATCTTTCAAACATAATTTCCATAAGAAAAGGAAGGAGGTTTGTATCAAAACAAGGTCAACCACAGCCTCGCATTCATTCAAAGGCTAGGATAACTGTAAAATGGTCTACTGGAGTCATCATGGAGCATTATGTAATAAGGAAATGAAGAAATAATGAACATGATAACATCAAGAAATTGTTCCCATTTTCAGGTTCGATGAATGTCGAAAAAGCGAGCGTACGGAGCATGAGCTTTTTGGCCAACATATTGACCACACAAAAATTACAATTATATTAGCTATTATATATTAGTTTATATTTCTGCAAAGATTACACATTCATTTTGATGACTGAATTACTGACGCTAGTTAAAATACAGCTAACGACGAGAAAATGATGTCTTACATGTAGGTTAATGGAATTTTGCCTTTGTAACAAAACCTCGCGCTGAACTAGGTTGCTAAACTAATTCTGCGTCGGAACTTTTTAAAAATAATGTTCAGGGCTCCTTGAAACAATGACTATGCATGGAGAGTTACAAGTAATACTGTATGACGTAAGTTCCCGCGTTACCAATCACGTGAGTGCCATATTCAGATATTAGGACTCCAATATTTGACACACTTGCCTTTTTATATCATTTGTTCCAATATTAGTTTTCGTTCAATAAAAAACTCAGCAAATTAACAAATTAACAGATTACGGTTAATAATCAACACTAGCAGAAGTAAGAAATTGCTGTGACGAAATCTTGGATCTCGGTAAGTTTCCAGTTAACTAATTTCCCAACCGTTCTAATTTAACTTGGGCCGGTTTAACGATAATAACGAACCCTTGAATTTAGCTTTAATAATCCCACACTCGACCTCTAATGTTATCTGTTAACCTCTATTATTTTCTCAGTCTTTACCAACTTTGTTACCGATCGGGAAAACTTAATGCGCTCGTTGTTATCACGTTGTCAATTCCTCCTGTTGAACCTCACCACCAAACGTATGTACGGTTTATGCACATACACCTCCTTGGTACTCTGAAATTAACGCATTCACGAAAATCCTATTTTCACCCACAGACAGCGTTCTTACACTAAATGACTATATTCATAGCACAGTTTTGGCGTAAAACATTCCGAGCCAACAGTCTCTTAAATTCCTATATACTGCGAGTTATTTTGTGACGTTCAGTGTTCAGTGTTGTTATCCAATGGTATTCTGACCCTGCGAACCTCTTTAAGCAGAAGAAATTTGCTTGATCTACAGTTTTTTTTTTTTTTTTTTTTTTTTTTTTTTTTTTTTTTTTTTAAGGTTCTCTCCCGGTATGGCTGACATCGCCATGAGAATCGCCTCCTTGTGCGCCGTGCTTAGTCTGTTGGTAGTATTGTTCTCGACCACAGAAGTGAACTCGTGCTACGTAAAAACTAATGGTTGCTCTATACCAGGAAACCTTCCATTCTTCTACAAGAGGACATTTAAACCAGCTTGTGACAAACACGATGTCTGCTACTACTGTGTAAGACTTGCGGCTTCATTTTCTTACTACAAATTTATCAGAATGACGGCAACAATGTCTCACCTTCACAAATAAGGATAGCTTTACTAGGCAAATTAACAGTTGGATGCTACATACGCAAATCCAGAACAAAAGATAAATAAATAAATACATGATGCCATGCTACATACCCAAATTTAGAACAAAGGACAAATAAATAGATTAATGTGCCTAAACACTACAGTGACCAAAATACAGCAATATCATAAATATCTTTGAGTAGCTAGTAGAAAATTGGAGCTAAGATAAACTAAATTTAACTGCTTAATATTTGGCGATTTTTATTTTTAGAAAATACTGAATACTGAAGGGCATTTTCATCGGTCGTTGCCTATTATCTATTAGAGAACACTAATGCCATAAATAATTTTTTGCCGTTGTTTTTTTTGTTCTTGTCTTTCACACGATTATTCCAGATCGAGCAAATGTAGTTTGCAGGAAAAAAGTTTAGACAACCAAAAGTTTGGGAAATGCCTAAATTTTGCAAAATTAGAAAACTAACGTACTGCAACATCCCAGGGCAAGGATTTGTTTTTATTATTCCTTTTATTTACTTATTTTTTTTTCTGTTACTAAATAAAACAAATAGATTCCATTATATAATCGAAAATGATTTTTTGAGTGCCTGCACATTAAAGCGCAGGAAAACAAAGCTTGGTTTGACGTTCAAGTTCCTCTATTTTTTCTTTCTTTCTTTCTTGTAGGGTCGACATTACAGGTGGAAGCGAGACCAATGCGACGAAGCATTTAAGGACGACATGAAGAAGGTGTGCGGAAGATTCAGGGGGCCCAAAAACTGGGCGTGTAAGGGGTTTGCAGACGTCTACTACGGTGCAGTAAGAGTTGGTGGGGCTTTGTTCTTTAAAAGCCCAACTCAATCATGGTGCAAAAATACGTGCGCAAAGAATCGTGGAGATCCAAACAAAACTCTCTAGGGTTAAGAACTCACAGAAAAGGCAAACAAGAGTATTTTAAGCAGTAACGAATGTTTGTTAACTGAAAAAAAAATCACTTTGTAATACGGTGCGATTTTGGCAATAAGCTAAGCATGATAAAACTAAATAAAAGCCTGCAAGTATTTGCACGGGGACATTGAACATATATTAATTTTAATATAGAGTTTCCGACCCACTAATTAATTGTGTAAGACAGTAAACTTGGCCGAACCATAGAACGAGAATCACCGAAAGTTGTCAGAGATTTCTGAGAGTTCAAGGACTCGCCTCGTTTAGCCCAGCCGTTACCAAGTAATTGCCTTTGTTGACATCTAAAACACACGGTTCTATAATATTTATTTGTGCCTAAATGACCAACACGCGAATAGTAGAATGCACATGCGGCTGCATTACAAAGTAATAATTACATTTTAGTGGGCGATTGTTGATTTTCATGGCATTAGAATACTGCATACTTTCTTTATCCCATTCACCCCCGGAACCGCCTGTAAGCGCCCGTGCACGTGCGGACCTACGTCTCTTGTACCGTTTGTGACGTCATCAGTTTTAATGGTCAAGGACAATTTTGTCAGCTAACTTGTGCAGGGGGAGAAGACCTTTCCCATACCAGAATAATGCACCTATCCATGTTATGCCAGCGGGGGGGGCTTGGGGTCGGGATTTGATTGACTTTGTTGGCCCTGGGGTAGGGCATTTGACTGATCTTGTTCTCCCAGGGGAGCGGATATTTGAATCTTTCTTCGCCCAGCGTGGAGATATTTGACTGCCGACTCGGACGAAAAAGACTGAGACCGAACATATGTTTCCCCACTTCCACGCTTCACGCATGCGCCGTACGGTCTGGAAAGTTCTGGAAATCATGAAGGCCAATGAGAACAAGCGAAAGCTGGGTGGATTTCACTGTTTTGTCTTCAAATTTCGTTTGTTTTAGCGTGTTTTTGATCAATTGAACCTCTTGCGATACTGTGGTATCAAAGTAAACGGAAGTAAAGAGCAACCAAGTCGATTTTTGCAAGTACAATTATTGATCAGTGTTTGGCTCATTCGCTACAATCACTGTAAGCTTATAAAACTGACTTTCTTTGTACGCTTTGCTAAGAACGGTATATTTAAAGTTACAAAATGTGGACTTTTTCCTAAAGGTTCCTGTAATCTACGCGTATTATGGTTAAAACGCATAATTGCAGCTGTAACAGGAACATGTATCTTTGGTGATGCAGCAACGTAAAATAAATAAATTTTGCAGAGTTTTATTTGGAGATATTTTTATTGTGCCTTTCTTGGGTCCAGCCTTGGGATATATGACAGCAATGTGCAGCCCGGGGTGGGGAAACTTGGTTTCATTTGACTGGAATGATTTGTCCGTGGGTAGGGAATTTGACTGCAAATTTTTAAAAAATGTCAAATCCCCACCCCATCCCCTGCCTTCCCCCCCCCCCACCCCCTCACCCCCCACGCCGGCCTTACATTGATAGGTGCATAAGCACGATTCAGTCAAATAAGCCGGAGAAAAACGCGAAAAAAGGACATGTACAGTTAAAACGAAATTCCAATGAAACTCTTGTTTACCACCCTCCTGCACTTTCCTCCATCTAACTCTTCCATCCTAAAGGTTTTCCCAAAATCTTTTCCCATCGATATAAAGCCTAGTTATTGCCCAGCAAAAGAAAAAAAAGGGACAAGAAAAGCGAAAGAAAAGGGGAGGAGAGAAAGCGAAACTTTGCCTTCTGCAGTTGCCTCATATTCAGAAGCTGCTATTTACCGTCAGGAAGAAGAGGCAGCGTAGTGCTCGAGCTATAAACGAGGTTTAGGGCAGTTTTGGTTCTTTTCAGCCAAATAGTGACCAGAAAACGGCTCGACTAGTTTGCACAGGAGAGCTACCATCTGTTCAAGCAAAACCGGAAATAAATTAACCTTTTGGCAAGTAAGGGGTGGGTTGGTAAGGTTTGAAGTTGTACACCCCAATTTTGGTAAAGTTTCGCATCATATCCATTTTTAAAATGCGCTTTTTTTGTTACCCTGGTTGCTTGTTGGGAGCTCTGAATCACCGTATAAGTGGTCCATATCATAATTCTATGTTTCATGCGATGAAAAAAAAAACAGACATAAGGGCCCCGTCTACTAATATACAAACAGATGAACTGTGGTTAGGTGGAGACGAACGATAATTGAAGTTTTTTGGTTGGTTAGTTTTGAGGAACATTTTCGGAAGTGGAAACAAAAAAATTTAGTCCGCACAGAACTAGATGCAATTGCAAAGAATTTTCAAAAATCGTTGGTAAAATTCTTGCTATGATTAACCCTCGCGGAAAGAGGAAGTACCCTATCATAGGAAATTAACGTTCCCTGACGGAAATGAGGTATTTTAAATTTCTGTTCGAGGCTGAGCGCTTATTAACTTTTTCTGCCTTTAGGATGGGCGCTAATTCGCGGTTGGGCGCTTATTCGAATAAATACGATATGTCGACATAAAAAATACCCCGGCCTTGTATGGACAAGAACTGGAACAAGTCGTTCGCACACATTGAGGATCGTACTGGAGCGGATAGCCGAAAAGGTTTGGAGCATAAATCGTCAACCTCACTCCTAAGTATTTACTTCCTTGTTTACACTTTCGCTACAGTTCAAATTCCTGTTCACAATGCCACAAAGGGGAGGGGAGGGGGGCACAGAAACCTATTCAATATGTGAAAATCCATTTTCAAGATCGGCGTGGCACAGGTTCACTCCATAACAGAAACCGAGCCGAAATCACCGATGGTTCTTGTGTGTGAAAAAAAGCCCTATCGGATATGGTTCTATCCGGTGTAGTAAAGACATAAGCCTTAACACGAGTGGTAGGATTTGACCGTCTTTTGTCACTGTAATATCTGTCTGTAGTCTTAGTCAGTCTATTGTTGCAAAGTTGCTTTGAGTTTGTCTATGAGTCGTTCGTATGATGCCAATAACTGCTGACTTCAATTTAGACGCGAATGATTAAAACGAGTCACGTTCCTTAGTAGAAGTCTGCAGAATAAATAACAAATTGAAAAAAAAATTGTTCCCTATTTACTATTTTTGCTCAAGATCAAGCTATAAAAATAGCAGCTTCTAATATTAAGAGATCGTGGCAGAATCAGCCCGATATCCCTGATATATTTTTGGACATATACTATTTTAAAAGTTCTAAACATCACAGCAAATGTATTACTTCCTCTGTATCGGTAGACACTACATACATAGAGCTGCAAACTGAAAATATACCCTTTCTGCGCTCAGAAAAAAAAAAAAAAAAAAGAAAAGCCTGCTATGAGTTAACACAGGTGGATCAAGGAAGAAGCGACTCAACTTCCTTGCATTTTTTTTTTCTTTCTGGCAATTTGAGTTAATGGAATTCCTAAGTCGAAGCGAAGTAATTGGATTTTTTGTACCGTTGTTAGTCGGGTGAAACGAATTGACGCCATGCATATCCAAGCTATTGTTGATAAACAAAACAAAATTGCACCAGCTCTGCGACGCCTTTTGCTGCTCGAATCGTATGCCATATTAGTGAGCAACAATATAAAGGAAATATAACGCCACGATTGATTCGCCTTATCCAAGCAACAGTCATTAATATGCTGTGCTCTAGGGCACGCTGCCATTCAAGACCTTGGTTCACCTACATGCAATTATGATCGAATTGGAGCAATGGTTTACGTCCTTTGCCCTTCCATTGTCACGTCAATACCAGCGAATAAATTTTTACCAAAGTGAAATATCGGTCAATTTAATTAATGTATGAGCAGTTTAGCTAAGGAAGCAATCTTTCCATTTTGTAGTATGGTCAGCCAATAGGCCCTGAGTTCCAAAACCCTCACTTTCAAAATGAGGCTGGGTGTACAACCTTTCTTGTGAAAATGAGTTTTATTTGCATGAGAATTAAAAATGATTTCCATATCAAAGGATGAGCACCTACCCTCGTTTTGAAACAGGGGCCCGGGGGGGGAGTCGGAAATGGCCCATTTGTAGAGCTTTTAGTTGAAAAGAACATTCCTTAGTGAAATGAAGATTCGTTTTTCTCGGGTTGATATTTGCCTCTACAAAAGAATCTTAAGAACAATTATATTCTATATTTTATATATTATATTTTATTAGCACTTAGCAGTTCCTTGCTAATATAGCGCTGGATTTTGAGGTACGCTTTAATTCGGGAATATTGTTTAAATATGAAATACGTATTGCTAAAGTGGGGCACACAGTACGTCACAATCGTTTCGTTAGGCTTGAGGATTGTTGTCGTACAGGATGTCCCAAAAGTTCGTTCCTCTAATAGTCATGCACTATAACTTTTGATCGAAACTTTATTTTTACTTGAAATTTCTAGAAGATGTTTATTTCTCTATCGAATACATGTATTCAGAATTTCAGTAACTGGCATGCCCTTTTTTTTTTTTTTTTTTTTTTTTTTTTTAAATCACTGTCTGTCTGACGTTTTGAATCAGAAGACGTCTTTGAGCGTGTTGCCCCCATGATTGTGTAGACCCACAGATGATCCATTTTGAGCTTTTTTATCATCTGGTGCGCAGGAGCCAGTTCAACCCCCAAACAATTTTTGTTAGTTTAGGCAGCTGAAAAAAGGAAGGAAGGAGTTCGAGCAATTCGGGCTATAAAATACAAAAAATATGTGGCTGGAAAATATGCTCGGGCAAGTATACTTATCGAATATTGAAGTCAAAAGATGGCACAACAAGCATGAAAATAGTGAATTAGATTGAAAGACACAACTTTTGACAAAATGATTTGCTTACCAAGTCCAATCGTACAGACTTATAAAAGTAGAGGAACAAACTTTTGGGACAACATGTATTTGAATAAATTAAAGTGTGTTTTGTACAATGTACTGTTAATTGGAGTCATGGAGCATTATGTAATAAGGACATGAAAAAATAATGAACGTGATAACATCAAGAAATTGTTCCCATTTTCAGGTTTGCTGAATGTCGAAGGAGCGAGCCTACGGAACATGAGCTTTTTGGCCAACACTAGTTTCCTCTGTTGATGATGATAATATACTAACGTAAACGAACATTAAAATTCCTTCTTTTTCCCCAAATGATTGTCGATCATTTCCATTAAGTCGAAAATATATTGGCATTTTTTAATGTTATTGCGTGCGTAAAAATTTTCACTGCCGCCCACACGAGAACGATATTGGTTTATTTTTTCTGCAAAGCGGATAACATGTTCGTTTTAATGACTGAATTATTGACGCTAGTTAAAATGAAGGTAGCGAAGGGCAAATAAATTTCTTAGGGTAATGGAATTTTTTTTCAATTCTTTTACAAATTTGCGCGTGGAACTAGAGGTTATTAAACTAATTCTGCGTCGGAATTTTTACAAATAATGTTCAGGGCTCCTTGAAACAATGACTATGCATGGAGAGTTACAAGTAATACTGTATGACGTAAGTTCCCGCGTTACCAATCACGTGAGTGCCATATTCAGGTATTAGGACTCCAAAATTTGACACACTTGCTTTTTAATATCATTTGTTCCAATATTAGTTTTCTTTCAATAAAAAACTCAGCAAATTAACAAATTAACAAATTACGGTTAATAAGCAACACTAGCAGAAGTAAGAAGTTGCTGTGACGAAATCTTGGATCTCGGTATGTTTCCAGTTAACTAATTTCCCAACCGTTCTAATTTAACTTGGGCCGGTTTGACGATAATCACGAACCCTTGAATTAAGCTTTAATAATGCCACACTCGACCTGTAATGCTATCTGTTAACTTCAAGTATTTTTGGAGTCCTTATCAACTTTGTTACCGGTCGGGAAAACTTAATGCGCTCGTTGTTATCACGTTGTCAATTCCTCCTGTTAAATCTCACCACTAAACGTATGTACGGTTTATGTTTTTTTCAAGAATAAACATAAATCTCCTTGGTACTCTGGAATTGTCGCATTCAAGAAGACCTTATTTTCACCCATAGACAGTGTTCTTATACTAAATGAATATATTTATAGCACAGTTTTGGTGTAAAAAATTCCAAATCACACAACAGTCTCTTAAATGCCTATATTGCGAGTTAGTTTGTGGCGTTCAGTGTTGTAATCCAATAGTATTCTAATCCTTCGAGCCTCAGTCTTTAAGAAGAAGAAATTTGCTTGATCTAGAATAGACCTTTTTACTGATACGGTGGCCATATTGAATTAATTAGATTTAACTGAGTATTATGGGATGCCCAGGGGGCAAGAGAACGATCCGATGTACTCGCTCAGAGTTCACGCGCGCTTTTCGGGCCAATTTTTCTTTACGTTTTCTTATAAAAAGATTGTAATGGGAAAAAAGATTGTTGTGCCGTGTTTGGATGTAATAATGATCGCCTTTTCCCAGGGAATATACAATGAAGTTCTCTTTTTGCCCGAAAAGCGCATGTAAATACTGAGCGAGTGCCCACTGGGCATCCTATAATACTCCTTAAATCTAATAAATTCAATACGGCCGCCGTATCGATGAAACGGTCTATTGGGGAAGAGAGACCAGTTTTCGTTTGAATAATCAGGAGGATGTAAAACTCCAGGGTGGAAGAAAAGATTGTGTGGTCCGCGTTACTACGAACGCTTCTTCAGTTTCACAGGTTTTATCATTATTATTATTATTATTATTATTATTATTATTATTTATTTTCTATTTTTCAGCCGTTTTTTTGTTGTTGTTGTTGTTTTTTAAGGTTTTCTCCCTGTCTGGCTGACATCGCCATGAGAACCACAGCCTTATGCGCCGTGCTTAGTCTGTTGGTAGTATTGTTCTCGACCACAGAAGTGAACTCGTGCTACGTAAAAGCTAATGGTTGCTCCATACCAGGAAACCTTCCATTCTTCTACAAGAGGACATTTAAACCAGCTTGTGACAAACACGATGTCTGCTACTACTGTGTAAGACTTGCGGCTTCATTTTCTTACTACAAATTTATCAGAATGACGGCTACAATGTCTCACCTTCACAAATAAGGATAGCTTTACTACGAAAATTAACAGTTGGATGCTACATACGCAAATCCAGAACAAAAGATAAATAAATGCATGACGCCATACTAAAGAACCCAAATTTAGAACTAAGGACAAATAAATAGATTGATGTACCTAAAAACTACAGTGACCAAAATACAGCAATATCGTAAGCATCTTTGAGTGGTTAGTAGAAAATTGGAACTAAGATGAACTTAATTTAACTCCTTAATATTTGGCAATTTTTATTTTTAGAAAATACTGAATACTGAAGGGTGTTTTCATCGGTCGTTACCTATTATCTATTAGAGAACACACACACACACAACTAACGTCATAAAGAATTGTTTTTTTTTTTTGGTCTTGTTTTTTGTTTTCGTCTTTTACAAGATTATTCCAGATCGAGCAAGTGTAGGTTGCAGGAAAAAAGTTTAAACAAAAAAAAGTTTGGGAGATGCCTAAACTTTCAAAATTAGAAAACTAAAATACTGCAACATCCCAGGGCTAGGATTTATTTTTATCATTACTTTTATGTATTTATTTTTTCTGTTACTAAATGAAACAAATAGATTCCATTGTATAATTTGAAAATGATTTTTTGAGTGCCCGCACATTAAAGCGCAGAAAAACAAAGCTTAGTTTCACGTTCTCAAGTTTCTTTCTTTCTTTTAGGGTCGACATTACAGGTGGCGCCGAAGGCAATGCGACAGAGCATTTCGGCGCGACATGAAGAAGGTGTGCAACAAGTTCAGAGGGTTCAAACGCTGGACATGTAAGAGGACTGCAGACGTCTACTACGTTGCAGTAAGAGCTGGTGGGGCTTTTTTCTTTAAAAGCCCAACTCAATCATGGTGCAAAAAGACGTGCGCAAAGAATCGTGGAGATCCAAACAAAACTCTCAGGGGTTAAGACCTCACAGAAAAGGCAAACAGGTGTATTTTTAACAGTAAGGAACGTTCGTTAACTGAAAATAAAAAAAATCAATTTGTAATACGGTGTGATGTTGGCAATAAGCTGAGTATGTTAAAATTAAATTAAAGTCTGCAACTATTTCAGGGAAACAGTGAACACATAAAAATTGTAATATAGAGTTTTCGACCCAGTAATTAATTGTGTTAGACAGTAAACTTGGCCAAACCACAGAACGAGAATCACCGTAGGTTGCCAGAGATTTCTGAGGACTCGCTCTTGTTCAGCCCAGCCGATATCAAGTAATTACCTTTTGGTGATATCTAAAACACACGGTTCTATTATATTATTTGTGCCCAAATGACCAACACGCGACTAGTAGAACGCATATGCGGCCGCATTAAAAAGTAATAATTATTACATTTTAGTGGGCGAATGTTGATTTTCATGGCATTAGAATACTACATACTTTCTTTATCCCACTCGCCCCCGGAACCGCCTGTAAGTGCCCGTGCGGACCCACCTCTCTTGTACTGTTTGTGACGTCATCAGTTTTAACGGTCAAGGATAATTTTGTCAGCTAACTTCTGCAAGGGGAAGGGAGACCTTTCAAACCATATCAAAATAAGCACGATTCGACCAAAGAAGCCAGGAAAAACGCCAAAAAAAGAAATGTACAGTTGACACGAAATTCCAATGAAAATCTTGTTTACCACCCTCCTTCACTTTCCTCCATCTAATTCTTCCATCCTAAAGGTTTTCCCCAAATCTTTTCCCATCCAAATAAAGCATAGTTATTGCCCAGCAAAAGAAAAAAAGAGGGACAAAAAGGGAAAAAGTATAGGGGAGGAGAGAAAGGGAAACTTTGCTTTCTGCACATGCCTCACCTTCGGAAGCTGCTATTTACCAACAGGAACTAGAGGCAGCGTAGTGCTCGACCTATAAACAAGGTTTAGGGCAGTTTTGGTTTTTTTCAGCAGTGACCAGGAAACGGATCGACTAGTTTTAAAAGGCGTTTTTCGGCAAAATTCCACGGAGCGAATGGGTTTAAACTCCACAGAAGGAAGACCGTCCTGTTCTTCGCTTTAGACCTTCATTACATCTACAGCTAGTACACAATGAATGGATATACTAACGTTTTTTTCCAAAGGAGCTGAACAGAAGTGATTGTCCTGCAATGAAAAACATTAAAAAAAGAGTTGCTGGAGATAAACAAAGCAAGATAAACATGACATGCAGTGAAATCCCATTACGGTCACCTACTACGTTACTGACCACTGACGATGTCCGTTAGCGGAGGTTCGAGTGAACTAATGCAGCAAATAAAATTATAGAGAAGTGTCTTTCACTAACCATAAAATGTGCACCAGAAAGGAGAGCTTCAAAATTGTCCATTCCTACAGATAAGAGCAAAAGAAAAAGGTACAACTGAGTGTGGTACAACAATTTTCCGAAAAAAAAAAATTGGGTTCCTCAAGAAGTACCTCTTTCCTCCCTTTCGGGAACGGGAAGTCGGAAAATTGTGTACTGTTTCCTCATTTCTCCCGTTTCTAGTCTTTTTGCGGGTGCAAAACCTTAAGTTTCGTCCGCCAACTCCACTATAACCGGAAAGCGAATGGAAAATGGTAAACGTCATTCACCATTTTCACATAGACCA